GATATCCCATGATTCTAGGAAATTAAGTTTCCTAAACTGATGGACCTAAAATTATGGAGAATCAATCAGAGAATCAATCTTCTACTTTCCAACAGTTACAAGCAACAGATAACTAAATGAGAGGCCAAGCTAAATGATATCCAAAGAGACATGACAGTTGACATGCAAAAATGGACATCTCCGACGGAAAATTGAGCGTCTAGAGAATAAGGGTGACTCAAGCGTGTCAAATAACCACCATTGGTAAATAGTATTTTGATGATAATGTTGTCTCATTGCAATTAATGTTACTACGTAATTTCTTTCATTTTTAGTGCTCAAATTCTCTTACATTAAGAACTCAATGTGTTACCTAATCAAAAATGTCATCGGTATAATGATCACATTCTAGAAACAACCGTATCACATGTTTAGAAGTATCGGCCACGTCCGCCCGCATACAAAGGCAAATGGGCCTCGAGCTTCGAATGGTCGGGTGCCCTAGGCCCCCGACACAAGCACTACGCTGATCAACACTATGTTGAAACACACAACAATACTATTATCATGCAAACCACAATTCCACACCTATCAGCCGCGTCCACCCACGTCCGAAGGCAAATGGGCCCAGGCTTCGAATGGACAGGTGCCCAAGGCCCCCGACACAAGCACTACACTGACCATTGGATCATTCCATTCCGATAGGTGAAAAAAATAATCCACCAAGTGTGGACTACACTAAGCTGAAACACACAACAATACTGTTGTCATGCAAACAATAATTCCACACCTATCAGCAGCATCCGCCCGTGTCCGAAGGCAAATGGGCCCAAGCGTCAGAAGGTCGGGTGCCCAAGGACCCCAACACAAGCACTACGCTGACCATTGGGTCATTCCATTCCAGTATGTGCAAAAAATAATCCACCAAGTGTGGACTACACTAGGCTTAAACACACAACAATACTCCTGCCATGCAAACCACAATTCCACATGTATCAGCCGCGCTTGCCCGCGTCTGAAGGCAAATGGGCCCGGGCTTTGGATAGCCGGTTGCCCAAGGCCCCTGACACAAGCACTAAGCTGAACATTGGGTCATTCCATTCCGGAATGTGCATCCACACTAGGTCGAAACACACAACAATACTGTTGTAACGCAAACCACACTTCCACACCTATCAGCCACGTCCGCCCGCGTCCGAAGGCAAATGGGCACGAGCTACGGATGGCCAGGTGCCCGATGCCCCCGAAACAAGCACTACGCTAACCATTGTGTCATTCAATTCCTGTATGTGCAAAAAATAATCCACCAAATGTAAACTACACTAGGCTGAAACACACAACAATACTACTATCATGCAAACCACAATTCCACACCTATCAGTCGTGTTCGCCTGTGTCCGAAGGGAAATGAGCCCCAACTTCGTATGGCTGGGTGCCCAAGGCCCCCGACACAAGCACTACACTAACCAATGGGTTATTCCATTCCGATATGTGCAAAAAATAATCCACCAAATGTGAACTACACTAGGCTGAAACACACAATATTGCTGCAATGCAAACCACAATTCCACACCTATCAACCGCGTCCGAAGGCAAATGGGCCCAGACTTCAAATGGTCGGTTGCCCGAGGCCCTTGACACAAGCACTATGCTTAACATTGGATCATTCCATTTCGGTATGTGCATCCACACTAGGCTGAAACACAAAAAAATATTGCTGTAATGCAAACCACACTTCCACACCTATCAGTCACATCCGCCCGCGTCCAAAGTCAAATGGGCCCGGGCTTCGAATGGCCGGGTGCCCGATGCCCCCGAAACAAGCACTACGTTGACCATTGGGTCATTCCATTCCGGTATGTGCAAAAAATAATCCACCAAATGTGGACTACACTAGGCTGAAACACACAACAATACTATTGTCATGCAAACCACAATTCCACACTTATTAGCCGTGTCCACCTGCGTCCGAAGGCAAATGGGCCCGGGCTTCGGATGACCGGATGCCCGAGGCCACTGACACAAGTACTACACTAACCATTGGGTCATTCCATTCTAGTGTGTGCAAAAAATAATCCACCAAGTGTGGACTACACTAGGCTGAAACACAACAATACTGTTGTCATGCAAACCACAATTCCATACCTATCGGCCACGTCCGCCCGCGCCCGAAGGCAAATAGGCCCGAGCTTTGGATGGCTGGGTACCCGAGGCCCCCGACACAAGCACTACGCTGATCATTGGGTCATTCCGTTCGGTATGTGCAAAAAATAATCCACTAAGTGTGGACTACACTAGGCTGAAACACACAACAATACTGTTGTCATGCAAACCACAATTCCACACCTATCAATCGCGTCCGCCCGCGTCCGAAGGCAAATGGGCTGGGGCTTCAGATGGTCAGGTGCCCGATTCCCCCAAAACAAGCACTACACTGACCATTGGGCCATTCCATTCCGATATGTGCATCCACTCTATGATGAAACACAAATCGATACTGGAATGGAATGACACAATATTGACCATTGGCTCATTCCATCTCAATACGTGCATCCACCCTAGGTTGAAACATACAACGGTACTGATCCCATGCAAACCACACATCCACACCTATCGGCCACGTCGGCCCGCGTCTAAAGGCAAATGGGCCCGAGGTTCAGGTGGTCCGATCCCTGAGGCCCCCCTACACATACTCTATAATGACCATTGGTTGATTCCATCTCGGTGTGTGCACAAAATAATTCACCAAATGTGCACTACACTAGGTTAAAACACACAACGGTACTGATCTTTGCAAACCACCCATCCACACCTATCGGCCGTGTCCGTCCACGTCCAAAGGCAAATGGGCCCGGGCTTTAGATGGCCAGGTGCCTGAGGCCCCTGACACAAGCACTATAATGACCACTGTGTCATTTCATCTCGTTAAGTGCAGAAATAATCCACCAAATGTGGACTACACTAAGCTAAAAAAACACAACAATACTAAACCACACATCCACACCTATCGTACGCGTCCACCTATGTCCAAAGGCAAATGGGCCCAGGGTTCGGGTGGTCCGGTCCCTAAGGCCCCCAACATATGCACTATAATGAACATTGGGTCAATCCATCTCAGTATGTGCATTAAATAATCCACCAAACACTAATTTTGATTTCGTTGTTGTTGACTTGTTGTTAAGTCCTACGTATGGATATATGTATTTAGGAAGATAAATCATTTATGGTGGAAGTGGATAAACGTATTAACATAACACATAAAGACTAATCAGATAAAAATATGGTAAATGTCGGACATGGGAGAATTATGAAAGAAAGTACTTTTACAAAAACAAGTTTACGTAAACAGATTACAGGCAAAATGTTTGATCCGGCATAAACATCCAATCATTTAGACACAGTCTGATCTCATTAATGGTGACCGCTTCCATCATTTCGTGTATTGATATTCCACAAGCATTCCACCTCGTCACGCAATTGCAAAAACTCACGTCTCAATGCTAGATATGCTGTCCTCACGTCCTCGAGTTCGGCCTCCCGTTCAAGGCAAATACGTTGGTACTCTTTCATGGCATCGAAGCTTGCATCCCTTATGTTGATCTGTCGACATGATCGCAGATATTTGCTGGCCACTCGGGCAGCCATTTCAATGGATGCATCGGGAGTATCGGTTGTGTCCCCATAGAAGCTTCTCACATCACCCCACGCAGTCATAGTAACCACTGCGTAAAATTTGTTGCCCAAAGTATTTATGGTAAATCTTGGAGGTGGGAGGTGGCAAGCAACCGCAGTTCACCTCAAGATATCAAGCAAGGATACTTGGACCTCAAAGGGTTCCTCCATTCAAAACTACAAAACAAAACAAAATAAAAAAAAAAAAAAATTCTAAGAACATGTAAAAGGTGAGAGAAAATGGATACCTAACAAAAATGATATTAATTTCATTAATAAATTAGAAAGCAGGGGAAAAAATTCTTGTCGTTGCTCAGTTACATAGAATAATAAAGATAACAAAAGAGAGAAAATGGAAAGAATGGCAGCGAAGGAAGAAACAAAGAGAGTTAGAATCTTACATTGTGTGAACAACTTGGTTGTTTGATTGCTTCAAACAAGATCAAAATAAAGATCCAAAAATGAAGGGAAATGCGGGATTTATAGATAAAAATGACATAGTGCGAGAAAAGAAATAATGTTAGAATCTTACCTAGTCTTCCACTGCTCGAAAGAAAAGGTTTGGTCTTTGGATGTCGCATATAAAATAGTGAGTAAAACTAGTAGAAAATAGTGAGTAAAAGTAGATTTCGTTTCCTTCAAACAAACACCGGTGAATAGAAGAAATGAAGAAGGAAGTTGGGAGGGGAGAGAAGATTAACGCCGTTGGGAGAGAGAAGATTAACTACGGTGGGATGTTGTGTATTCTTGGGTTCTTCTTCAAACGAACGCCAGTGGCACTGGCAGCCCTCCACTTGTAGAAACTCTGTCTTCTTCAAACGAAGGACGTTGGGAGGAAAGAGATTAACCGTAGCGGGATGTCAAATGAGGGGCATTTCTGGGTTTTTCTATGGAGGACCAATAGTCAATTGGGTACCAGGGGCATTTCGGGTATTTTAATAATATGATAGGACATTGGGCTGACGTGGGTGTGGGCTAGTGGAGTTGACGGAAATTTGAATTTGCAGGGTATAAAAAATCGAAATTTCTATAGTATAGTGCTGTTGGAGGTAAATTTTTATGCCCCTGGCTGGGCGGTAAATTTCCCAAAACTAAAAGTGGGGCATTTCTGGGTTTTTCTATGGAGGGCCGATAGTCAATTGGGTACCAGGGGTATTTTGAGTATTTTAATAATATGACAGGACGTTGGGCTGACATGGGTGTGGGCCAATGGAGTTGACGGAAATTTGAATTTGCAAGGTATAAAAAATCGAAATTTCTATAGTATAGTGTTGTTGGAGGTAAATTTTTATGCCCTTGGCTGGGCAGTAAATTTCCCAAAACTATTTTTGTTGCAGGTTCCTAGTTCAAATGGTTCGATGATTCAGTCCAGTCCAAGTCTAACAATACTAATCAAAATATAGTACATTTAGAGATTGCACAGGGATATTTTCGGGCATAAAATGAAGTCTGAGTGAGCAAGTGAGTGTGTGTGCGCGCGCACGCGCGTGAGAGAGAGAGAGAGAGAGAGGGGCAAAGGGTGGCAAATGGGTGGGTTGGGTGAGGGTTAAGTATCAACCGACCCACATTGACCCTCTAACCCATTTGCCACCCTATTTATTGGGTATTAGTGGGTCACAACCCATCTTGACCCTAACCCACCTATATGACCCGCTAATTTAAGGCAAATATTAAGAAAACACGAATATTTTACCCAAACAAATAAATATTGAAAACTATCATAATTAATAAAACCACAAAATTGATATAAATTTGTAGAAAAAATAAAATGATAAAACTAAAAAAACATATATTGTTGTAAAAAGTTGAAAGTGCATAAAATACCGAAATTGACAAAAATTCAAAATAATTATATATTTCAACCCAAAACTTGTGGAAATAAAAAAAATGATAAATTTCAAAAAAAAAACATTTCTCAAATAAGAAAATAAAAATGTATAAAAACATAGAAAAAATATACAAGAAAAATGCAAAAATTTGAAAATAAAAAATTGAAATTATAAAAAAAAAAAACAACAAAAAATATAAAAATAAAAATACAAGAAATTTATAAATTGAAAAAAAACCAACAAAAATTATAAAAATGTTGAAAATGTAGATAGTGTTCTACAATGGTGGGAAGAACAAAGAGATCTGGTGCAATATCAGAAAGGCTTGGGAGAACATAGATCTAGGTTCGCACCAAATCTTGAACCTCCATCACTGGCTATCCTTCAACTGTAAAAAAACAGAATATCCTCTTGTTTTGTAATGGTGGAAAGACCAGAAAGTCGGTGAGAATCCAATCTCAGTTGTCGATTGTCATTGCAATGGCACGAAAAAAAATCCTCTGGCCTTATTTTGCAATGGTGGAAAGACTTAGAATCCAATCCCAGTGGAGCTATTAGAACCTCTATTTGTCAATCGTTGGCCGCCACTGCATCTCCTCACTCTCACCTTCTGTCGATGGTGAAGAAGAAAAACACAACCCTCATCAAACTATTTGAACCATTGTTAATCACTGGCCACCATTGCATCTCCCTTCTCACTCCTTCTGTCAATGGTGGAGAAGAAAAACTCAGCCATCATAGAAGTATTCAAACCTCAGTTCTCTAGTCACTGGCGCCACTGCATCTCTCTCTCCCTCCATCTTCCATCCTTCGACTATTAAAAGTTGAAACCCTAAACCCTTTCCCCTCCCCTTAGTTTGTATTCAATCATTATGTTGTGACCCAATGGGTACCCTTGACCCAACCCCACCCTGACCCTTTTCTCTTGACCCCAGTGGGTCACTTAACCCATATTGACCAACGTAAGAGATGGGTGGGTTACAATGTGGGTGGGTTGTGTGGGTCAAATGGTTAAGGGTCAAGATTGCCAGTCATAGGCATTCTACCATCAATTCAGGCAAGAACTCACTGAATTACACAAATTCAGGTCTTAAGTGTCTAATTGATCGGTGCAACACTCACCATAGACAGGATTGCAAATGTCCAACCTAGAGGAATGTTCCCTTTTTTCATTTCGCTTGGTAAGCTTTTTATTAATAATGAAAAAATAACAACTTACAAATAGAACATGCCAAGCATCTCTCAAACTTAAGCCAGCAGGTGCACCTATCCCGATCTATTGCATTTACATTTCATGCTCAAATAAATAAACCCAAAGCTACTAGAATCTATTTGCCCCTTGTTTGGCCATAGCATCTGCCAAACAGTCTTTTGATATATGAACCTAATGGAAATCGGCTTCCAATTCCCTCTCCAGCTCTCCCCCTTTTTGCTTTGAAATGAAAGTTACCTTTTCTAGAAAAAATCAGATTCCAAAGAGAGAACCTTACAAGCCAACTAAACAGAATGTACCCAACCCTGCTACAAAAAAGAGCAAACACACCCAACCTACGACATTCTAGGCTAAAACATTTCAAAAGTCAAAACTGAATAGAGACTAATATTCATATTACATAAAGACCATAGACTGAAAATGATAGAAATACCCCTGCCACAATAACAAATGAAAAAACAGAAAGATAAAAAAACTAATAAATGGAAATACTTGAACAAGTTGACAACATGTTCCCCTTTCATTCATCAAACTTATACCCTTTCAAGAATTTTATCAAACATGTGAAAGGCACAATGAATCTTGGTGCTGGAAATACTTGAAGAAGTTGACAACATGCATCACCAAGGATCTTCAATGGAAGGAAGAAAAAAAATCACAATGACAGAAGCACTCCCCTGTCTTGTAATTGCCAAATCTATGTTCCCCCATCCTAAGAATGTCCTTGTAATCACTCCAGAGAAATTCATATCAAGCTTTGATGACCAGCAGACCATATAACCAAATATAGAATCAAGTTCAACACTGTTAAAGTTCGGCCTGCCCTAGAAGTCTGTTTTGTTTGTTAGCTGTAAAGTAAACAGCAAGAAGAAAGAGAGGAAAGAAGAAGGAAGAAAGAGGAAGGAGAAGAGAAAAGGTCTGGTTTGAAATTAGGAAAAAAATCAACCCTAGTTTCGGCCAGACCTGTTATTATATTATTAATTGATTGGAAAAGACATAAGTGCCCTTATTTAAGTAAGAGGCACTCGAACTAACATAATAGTACACATCAGCACTCTCAACAGGTACAAAGACCGAAATACCCCTTCACTAACAAACACCATTGACCAGTTTCTGGAAACAAGATCCAAGAAATCACCCCTACAGTTGTAAAAACTAGAGAAAAGGGGGTGCTCACTCTTGAAGCCCTAGAAAAAGGGGTTGTTTTCTTCTTCTCCCAGGTGTCTTCTGGTCACCTTTCTAGTATCTTTCTTCCTCCTTTTAATAAATTATAATTTATTACCAAAAAAACCCTAGAAACCTCAACAATCCAAAACTGCCCACTCCAGAATGACCCAAGTAAACAAGAAATACAATACTTCTCCCATGAGACTAACCTTTAATTAATTTTCAAAAAAAAAATCATCTAAACCAGGCAATCCAAAAATGAATTTTTTTTTTTTTTTGAGCTAAAAGGTAACAGATTTCATTGAAAGAGGAAGTGTACATGAGAGAATGTACAATGGAGGCACTAAAACACACTTAAACATTACACAGGCATAACTCTATCGCTATATAAGAAATCCCCATGAGGTCCTGCTTTGGCCAGGCTGTCTGCTACAGAATTTAACTCTCTGGGGATCCAGAGCAGGAATGTATTCAGATATTCTAATACATCTCGAGTCATTCCAAGTAATGAACCAGCCTCCAAGGTCCTCCATTTTTCTCCCCCAGCCATCTGATGGTATTGCTCGAATCCCCTTTAATGATTAGGGATGATTATCCAAGCTCTCTTGCAACCCGAAGTCCTATTAACACTGCTAAAACTTCAGCCTTTGTAGAATCAGCAATCCCTATTGGGCCACGAAACGTCAACAGAAGACTTCCATCCCTTCCCTTAAAAACTCCACCAATCCCTGCTAGACCAGTATTCCCAAGGGAACTTCCATCAGAGTTCAATGTTACCTCCTCTATCAAACTTGGGTGGGGGTTTTTTTGTTGCTTTTAGAGAGGAAGGAGAAGAAAAAAGGATCTCCACAGTTTTTCTCTGGAGATCATTTAAAGAAATACCTCTGAATTCAGCACCCATGAGTTGCATAAATGAAGTATGTGGGATATCAGCTCGTCCATAGCTCTAGCCTTATTGTTGAATTTTC